TTAGCTGATTTAAAAAGGGTGGCGGAGGTTGATGTGTCCCATTCATTGAGAAAGAAAAGAAGTTCACTCAGCAGCTTCCGTTTTAGTTCCTACATGCTTGACGAGAAGGCGCCATTTTATTACACCGCATACATGAGTAAATCTTACACAATGCGGCACTAATGATTTTATGTACATTTGAACCCTTTAGCAGAGATAGCAATGCATTGCCCTCATAAATTAATGTTAAAATTTAAACGGAGGTGTCAAGTAACGAAGTATAAAAACTTTGTTACTGAATTTAAGTACACGTTTTATGTATCTATACTTTACTCCATTACTTATTTTTCTTCCTACTTCTGACTTCTACTCATTACATTTTCACACAAGTATCTGTACTTTCTATTCCTTACATTTTTAAAACAAACGTTACTCGTTACTTTTGGCTTCGGTTTAATGTTTATAAATATTTATTTCACGTCATGTGCTCCATCCAATGCAGATCATTGGCTCCATCCACATCTAGTGAAAACTAGTGAAATTGGATGATTCATATAGCGCAAACACTCATTGGTTAGCTAAAGGAAATCATCAGAAGCAAGCAGGTGTTCTTCAAACTGCAAACGTGAATTGTTTATGCCATGCTACAATGTAAGATTCAGGAAAAGATGTTGAAATGTCTGAAAGGTCGGACACAGGCGAGAGCGCATCGGGAAATGGAGACGGAGACCAACAAGACCTCCCTCACCCTTTGGCCCTATCTAAAGAATTTTTTGAAATAGTCGAAAAATTGAGTTTTCGATTCATTAGTGGCAGCTTGTTGTTTTTTTTTTTTTTAAGGTTACTTTATACTTTTATACTTTAAGTAGTTTTTGGAGCACATACTTTCTCACTTTTACTTGAGTAAAGAGGTCAAGTTGATACTTCAACTTTTACCAGAGTGTTTTTAAACTGCAGTATCTATACTTCTACTTAAGTAACAAATGTGTGTATTTTTGACACCACTGCATTTAAATAATTCTTTCAGTAATAATTAATATAAACAAACAAAATATACTTAAACAAGAGCTCATCATTTTTCTGACCTTTCAAATAAATGTAACACAGCAGCAGAGGACCTCATTGATGGGCTAGAAAACTAATTTCACTGAATACAGGCAGCAGACATTCAGAGCCTTGATTTCTTGTAAACAGCAGTAATAAAAGCAAGAGTGATGATGCATTATAATTACACGGCTTTTATTTTTGTTCTAAACATGCCTTTAAAGGCCTTGTAGAGATTAACATGTAAAGAGGGAGGAAGCTGGAGTAAATCCTAACTCTGAATCTCTTAATAATGAACGCTTCTATCATAGTGCATTCTGGTCAGTTATTGGATGGCAACACATCTATAAAGTGTCTTCAGCTTCAGTAACCTTTACAAGCGTAAAGCAGAAAAAAATGCTTTAAAAGGTTTTATGTTTCAAAGGACAAAGAAGTATTTTCTTCTATTCTTAGAGTAAGCAGCATTTCTTGGCTGTGTAAATGCTGTCCTTGAAAGTATACTTAAAGCCTTTTTTCATGATTCAGATAAGCCTCTGATGTGTCTGGCTGCTGACACTCTAAACACAGAAGAAGTTTATCTCAAATAATAGTTCCTCACTTTCTGTGAGTCTCACAGCACAGAAAACATAATCTTTCTACTTCTCCTACTCAGTTAAATTCACACAATATAATGCTTTAAGGTTTTTTAATCAGAAAAGCATAATATTCTGCTCGAAAGGTAAGGGGGTGTCTTTGTTTGTATCTTTTGTGAGTGTCCATTCTCCAGGACAAGATCCTTCGTTAAGCATCTCTGTTTAGGTTCAGACAGGTCCAGATTTTAATAAACGAGGACCTCAACTCTATAAACATCTAAAATCTCCCCTTATCTGTTTCTCACAAAAAGAAAAAAATGCCTTAAATATCAAGCTGTGCTTAATTATTTGTTTGCCATGTAAGATTACATTTGACTTGTGCATGGTTGTCTCATTTTTTATGTAGCTCTAATGCAAAACAGTGTCAGAACAGCAGGTTTTTGTGCTTTCACACAAATGAAGGATTTTATGAATCTCAAATAAGCTATTCGTTAGAATTGTCAATTTTTTATAAATAAAAAATGGAGAACGGGTCATTTAGTTTGGCTTGGAACCGAAAACTGTGAATCAGCTTTTAAACTTAGCATCATTAGCCAACAGAAGGTGTCAACTTTATCAATACGGCATGTAGATAAACAACAGACACATTGTGTCAAACAGACCACCATTATGTCGCCACCCTGGCAGAATTGTTCCCTGGCTGAAGAACCATTTTTTTGGGTCATTAAACTAGCAAAAAAAAAAAGGTCTTTAATTTCTACTTAACTCAAAAGCTTAATGGTTGAAGCCAGAGGACCGTTTCACAAAGCAGGTTTACTGAAAACTCTAAGTTGTCTAAACATGGAAACAAAGAAACTCTGACTTTTCCGGTTCACAAAGAAATTTTCCTCAACCATGGTTAAAGTCACTGTAGTAAAATTCTCCCCAGAGCTAAACTGGATGGGAGCAGGTTTCCTTCAGAAAGCTCGGAGTGTCATCTGTCTCCACTCAACTGGAAATAAATAATAAAACAGCCAATCACGCTGTTTTATTTCCTGATTTAGCCAGACGTTTGTCAAAGTTTTGTGCATAAAAATAAATAAATAAATATATATATATTTAAAAACAAACATTGCATGTCTATTTGAGAAGGATCTTCTTAAAGAAGGATTATTATTTTTTCACAGAGAATTAAATATTCATTGGGAGAGGATTCTACAACTCATTTGACAGGGCATGAGATTACTTGTTTTTGGTTTGTTTAATATGAGCGAAATGTAGATCATTTTATTTTTTTGTTATATTTACAGTACATTAAGAACTACAGAAAATATTTTTAGATTACATGTAAATAGATAGATTCCGCAGGGAAAAGGGATTACTTTAAGGTTAGGATTAGGATTCAATGGATGATAACAGCCTAATGAGCCTACTGGCACAATCTGAAACGATTCTATGGGCCTGGTAGCCACAAATGACATCCATTTATTGTGATGATAGCATCTGATGAGGGATTCTGAGCATTATTTGGGGATGATGAGATGATGCAAGGGTTCTATATATTAGAACAACATTTTTAGACTTTATTTTCACATGCTGCCGGAAGATTTCATCTATATAGATACATTGATCTACTACCATTCAAAAAACACTTCTATAAACTTATTGCAATCACAACCGGTTATGGCAAGCCGTTTTAATATATTCTTGATTTACTTAATATGTATTCCTGATATTCCTGATTTTTTCTTTGTCTAAATGAACATTTCAATCAAAATGTAATTTTCTATATCTAGAATGAACATTCTGAATGTCTATAAATGTCTAGTTTGTTAAACCTGCTTCATGAAACGTATCCCCGGACATACAGTATTTAGGTGTTTAGGGTTGTCAAAAGTATTGTTTCACCAAAAAGTGTAAAAACTCAAACACTGTTACACAGCATAACAATAATTTTGTAAGGAAGCGATACAGTAGCAGCCTTTCAAAATGGCCCTTCCCAGTGAAACGCCAGCTGAATGGCAGCCCACTTCCCTGCAACTTCTAGCAGAATCCCCTCCAACTTCCAGCCACTGGAGTGACCCCATCCTTCTCCTGTGCATGCATATTACTCTGACTACACCGTTTCAATGAATAACAGGGTCTGAACAGGAGACGATGCTTCTCTTTAGATCTTAATGTCCACAAACCATGACAGAAAGAATATTTTGGTAAAAAAAATTGATGTTTAAAAAGGAATTGTAGGGGACCAACCAAGGGCCAGCCAAGGAAAGTGGGGAAATTTTGAATGGCTACTACTGTACTAAAGGCAAGTTTTGTTTGCTATTTTTAATCTTGGATCTCTGTATTATTTTAATGTTAAAAGAACCATACAACAAACCTAATATATTGTCAAACTGTGGTTCAATGGGTTGTTTCACATTTATTTGCACACCAATTTAACTTATTTATTCTGTTGATAAACATGTTCCATGTTGAGATAAAAATAATTTGTTAAAATACTCTTTATGTCTAATCATTTGTGTGTCCTCATGGTATACGACATTAGTTTTATGCATTGAATATTTCCATTTGTAATCATTTTGAGTTTGAATTTTTTTTTTTTTTTTGTTATAGCCCCACCACATACTGATCCAAGACCCATCCGAACCGAGAGAGATCAGATAAATAGAGAGACAGAGGTAGAATAGATTAAATTGGCCAATATAAGATTCTGGAATGTTCCTCTCAATGCTCAATAGGAAACCAACCAATTCAGGAAGAGCGACCAACTATTCGGCCTGCATTAATCCAAACACCCTTGATTGTGAGAAAAAAAGTTTGCAGCTGGAGTGTAATTTATTTGATTAAATAACAGTAGGAGTGTATGTGTATCTTGAGTTTGTTTGTCTAATTCTAAATTAGCAAAAATAAAATAAATTTCAAAATAAACTAAACTGGTGCATCATCTGTAGTTCTTTATTTTCATGTTGTACTATGTCAGCTTGAAAAAAAAATCAAGGGTTCAAATAAAGCTTAAAATTGACCATTTCTGCTGATGAGTAGCCAATACTTCTATTTAAAGCATCTCTCCAACATCATTACCTTTATTTTTTGCATATTTTTTGATATCAGTGCACGTGTTGAATTCTGAAATAAAGAAACACTCTTGTTCAAAGGCCTCTATGGTTCAGGATGGAGTCCTGCCTTAATGATGCCTGACCAAACATTATAAAGCCCGCCTGACTTTACATCCTGACTTCTCCTCTCTTGACTCATTTTCGTCTTTAGTGTTGATTAAAAATCTCAGAGCTACAGGGGGAACAGAAAAACCTTATGGAATACTAAATTAAAGAATAATTCCATTTAAATGTTACTAGGAAGAAGAACCTGCAAACATAAAAGCTAAAAACATTATTTTCAGAGAATAAAATGGTTCTCACATACCAGGATCTGATTTGGAGAACGTGTCCACATCCAGCAGAGCCCTGGAAACAAACAGGAAGAAAAGCAGGATTAAAATGAGTAAATCTAACCTCCTTCAAAGATTTCTGACAATTGATTCATTAACATCTCCAGAAATCTATTTGGATCTTCCTTCCGGATTTTCTTTTTTGAGTATTTCCACACACAAAAAACCCAAGTCAAGCTCCCAGAGTCAGGTCATGAGCAGATTTTATTATTTCCAAAAATGACTCTTTGAAACCGAGCATCAAAAAGAATATGTAATGTGTTTCTATGAAATGACTGCAGTATATAACAAAAATAAACCGTCGCTAACATCAAGGCTCAATAATACATTCAGGGAGGAGGTGATGAAATGTGCTTTGCTCTTCAACACAAAGCAAGTCAGCAGAGTTAACTGTAACTGTACCAAACCCAACAAGAATAAAAAGTACCAGAACACAAGTTAAGTGACTCTACTAAATTTCACAATTTGGTCACATTTCAACTAACGAAGATCCATCCATCCATCTTCTCCTTCTTAGTCCTGTGAGGGTCACAGTGTGTGTGTGTGTGTGTGTGTGTGTGTGTGTGTGTGTGTGTGTGTGTGTGTGTGTGTGTGTGTGTGTGTGTGTGTGTGTGTGTGTGTGGCTATGGGCAGGGTACTGTACACCCTGGGCAGCTTGGCAGTCTGTCACAGGGCAACACCTAACAATCATGTTGAAAGACCCCAGGCCAGGAATCAAATCTAGAACCTTCTTGCTGTAAGGCAACAATGCTACCAACTGCACCATCATGCAGCCAGCTCATAAAGATTTTAAAACAAAAGTTAAAACTATACTTCAGATGCTTTCATTTATATAATATAAAGAAAGACAATGCATACTTTCTTTCATTTGGATGGTTTATTTCCATGTCAAAATATAAATGAATATCTTTATTGGCTTCCTGTTAAATCCAGATTTTAATTTAAAATACTCCTTCTCACACATAAAGTCTTAAATGGCCAGGCTCCATCTTATATTAGAGATCTGATCATTCCTTTTGATCCTAACAGAGCACTACGCTCTTAGTCAGGAAGTTATCTACTGGTTCCTACTGTAGAATTTCTAAAAGTAGAATGGGACGCAGACCTTTTAGTTATCGGGCTCCTCTCCTGTTGAACCAACTACTGTAGTAGTTTTAGTCCATGAGGCAGACACCCTGTCTACTGTTAAGGGTAGGTTTAAAACATTCCTTTTTGACAAAGCTTATCTTTAGAGTAGTTGAGGATGTCATGAGCTATCTCTATAGTTAAGTTGCTATAGGCTTAGACTGCTGGACAACATAGGGACCACTTTTCTCTATTCTCTGATTTTGTAGTATTTGTTAGTTCAATCTCTAATGCTGTGCTCTCTCTTTTTTTCCTCATCATAGTAGCTTCATCAGGTCTGCTCCAGTTTGGCTGTGACACCATCATGGAGAGAAATATCAGCTGTGCTGCTGCCATCAACATTTTTGTTTATAGATGTTGGAGCTTGACATGTTTTTTCAGTGTAGTCCTGTTTCTCTGAATGTGACTAACTGGATGTGCTCTCTTCATCCTCTGATGTGGGAGCTTGCTCGGAGCTTATCTGTCTGGCTGTGTGTTTTCTGGACAGGGCCACCTGTGGCGCTGGTTGATGGTTACCTCTCTGCTTCTTTTTCTATGTCTTCTTCTGTGTCTTTGAACCTCAGTCAGCCTCCGCACATGGCTGCTCACTGGTTCAGCTGGTGGTTTCTTCCTGTTAAAAGGGAGTTTTCCTCTCCACTGTCACTATAAGCATGCTTAGTGTGAGGGATTGCTTTTCTGTCAATGAGTTGATGCAGTCAGGTCATTTTTCTTAGAAAGAACACTTTGAATCAATCTGACTGTATGATCTGGGTGAATTGTCTCTGTAAAGTGCCTTGAGAGGACATGTGTTGTGAATTAGCACTCTATAAATAATCTGAATTAAATTATAAGGTTCTAAAATTATTTAAATCGCATCAAAATTTAAAGACACAACTGGTAAATTTTATTCAAAAAAGAGGAAAAGCTCTATTGTGTATTAAAAAACATCTGCTTGGAAAGACATCAGCAATGATCTTAGAGAAGGAACATTGCTTTACTGCATATAACAAAGTAGTCCATAAAAGTGTCAATATTCATAATGGAAGTAAGGTACGCACCTTGGATTCAGCTCTGCAACTGTCAAGATTACTGTTTGCTATATTTTGGTCATTTAAACAAAGATCTGATCCATTCCAAAGGATTCAACGGCAGCGCTCTCCTTTTAACACTTCTTAGTGGATGGAGCAGCTGCTCCTGCATGATTGTCAGCGTGAATTCATACCTGCTGCAGAAAGCAGATTCTAGTGAGGGAAGACAATCTCTGTGACTCAAAGCAACTAATAGCTGTGATATCAGCAACTTGCTGTTAAACAGCTAATGTAAGTTTATTCCATCTCATTGTTGGTCCTTCATTTGTTGCAAATACAAAACAGGAGCTTCATTGATCACTTTAAACGTCTAACTTTAATGTAGATACAGTCACCAGGTGGACATCAAAGACTCAATATAGACAGACGAACGGACAGACAGACAGGTGGAAAGGAGGAGCTAAAACACAAAGCAAATCTGTAATTACAGGTGTTTTCTTCCCTATCATCATCAAATAAGGATAGTCGGTGAAACAACCAAATCATGGATATAAGCAGGTGAAACAATTTTCTTTGCAGGAAGTCTGACTTGGCATTAGAGGTAAGATGAGGAGCTTTTTCACTCAGTACGAAGCCATCAAAAGGACTTGATTGATGTGGTTTGGTTATCTGAACAGGATGCCTTCCTGAAAGCTCTCAAAATGAGTTGGATGATGTTAGCTTTTATTCCTGTGAACACACGTGGTCAAAACCCAGTGTTGAATAGGTTGAAGATGAAGAATAGATAAACAGACGGATTTGACAGCACCGTGCTTCATGTAAGCCACACAAAACATATCAACAAAAACATTTTAATCAGACTGTTAAGCATGGCAGCAACTGGGTAATGCTATGATCTTATTTTCAAAATAGAAAATGTTGTCCTACTTTCAGTCACTGAATCCAGAACTATTCTGAAGCATTGCACTGCATCAGAGATGACTGTCTGAAATTAAAACATATTTTTCATAAAGAAAGTAGAGTAAAGTAGACAAGTCATTGTCAGATATAATCTGAAATAAAATTCATTTAACAATACTGATCCTGAAATTCACACCAGTAACAAGATGTCTGGATGGACCATGTTCTCTGACTCTGCTGTCGCCATAAGATCTGCAATTCCTGTCACAACCGCAATCCCTGAACCCAGCGTTAGACACAGGAAGTAGGGGATGCTGTCAAGCTGAAGATGTAGTCCTAATGAACATGGTAGGTTTGTTGGACACCTGAGGCAGCAAGCAGATATCATGTGGCCAACTGTCCTGCTGCCCGGCTAATCACAGAGACAAAAACTCGGGTCTGGGAGGAATTTGGAGAGACCATGGAGAAAGACGATCGGTTGGTCTCAAAGCAATTCTGGAAAATGGTAAAGTGCCTCCCTTGGGAAGACTTTGCTAACACTATTTTTTGAGGGAGTGGGGAACTGACCAGAAAATAAAATTTTTTTACCAGCCCAACAAATTTTTCCTGCCAGAAAAAAAAAATGATAATAATTTGCTCTCTGGCATTTACTGGGCTTGTGTTCACGGATGCTTTCATAGATTGTAAGCAAGCGAGAAATTAATCATGTCTGTCAGTCTCTTGTGAAACAGTCTTCCCGAAAGCGGCATTTTTCAATAAACATTTTCTTCGCCCCGGGGGGCAGTAGATCCCCCCCGCTCATTGGCATGTTGTCTTTTAGAAAGCTTGGTTGCTCCAACTATATACCACCACAGTTAGCCTAGCGGCAGAGTTGTTGTTAACAACGGGGTGTTGGGGGGTGTGGTCTCTATACGCGTGTCTGTCTATCGGTGTCTGAGGAACAGACAGCAGTGGAACAAACGGAGGGACAGAGGGAGGGGAGACTTACCAAAATCAAAGACTAAAGGAGGTTACTGAATGCAACTGTGGTCCAAATACTTCCTTGCCTTTTGGTGAATGATGCTCTGGCATTAAATCGCCAAATGGAAAATTTAGTCACATTTGGCAAGAAGTGGTGAGGGTTAATTTTGGACCCTGCTGCTGACCTTGAATGTGGTCATCAGCTGATGATGGAAGGAATATTTCTAGGATCTCCTCAACCCGGCTAAAGAAGAAACAGGGTGCTCTGGGACAGGTGTCACTGAGGTGGTCAAAAAACTCTACAGTGGCGTAGCTTTGATGGCGGATGAGATCCATCTTAAGTAATTTAGGCTTTCCGTATACTGTATCATGGTTGACTCACCACTTTATATAGCACTAAAATAACCCAAAGCAAACAAGCAAGCGCATGTCTCAATACTGTAAATGTTTAAGACTCGCTTATTCAAAGTTCAGACTTCCACTGGAATGAAGTGCTGGTCAGAAACCCCCCAATTTCTCTGGATTTAAGAAATTCTACAATTTCTAATACTTAGATGTAAAATAGTACAAAAAATAATGCAACTGCTTTTGGCTTTTACTTAATCATATCTAGTTACTTTAACACAATTGTTTTATTTCCTACCTTGCTAACATGAAACAATTATGTTAAAGTAACTAAATATGATTAAGTAAATGCAAAAAATGTTTGCATTATTTTTTTTAGTGTATGACAAACATTTGAAGGCAGCTGCCACACCAAAACTGACAGAACTACAGTAATTACTGAATTTAGGCAATTTTTTTCTCACAGTAACCATGGCAAGCTCATAGTTTTTCTGTTAAAGTTTTAAAAGTTTGGGGTTTTTTCCTTTCTTTTTTTACTCTTATCTTTATGTGATATAAAAAATAGTTTGATGGTTGAAAAAAACATTTAAGTCAGACAAAAAAACTAAAAGAAGAAATGTGCAGTAGATAATAAATACTTATTATGACTCTATGTATGTAACTCCTGATCGGCAAACATTTGCTTTTTTGTGTTTAAAAGGCCACAGCCAGGAATTTTTCAAACACAGAGTAAAGAATACTCTGGGATTAAACACAGAAAACCTAATCATGAATGTTCTTTTATTCAGAGCTCAGTTGAGGCTCCCCAGGTTGGGGCTGTCTAACTCGGGTGTCTGGCCATTTCAAATCTCACAGATCTCATGAGGCTCACCACAGGAGTAAAAGCTATTCATAATTCAGGAGCCAACTGAGAAGAGACAGAGCACTCTATTGGGCAAGCAGGCAGGCTGGCAGGAAATAAAAAACCAAAAAAAAAACATGCTGAGTTTTACTGATCGGTCAGTCTGTCACTTTGCCTTCAAACCCTTTAACTCAAGCAGCCAATCAAAGGGTAGACAAGTGTTCATATCTTAGAGAATCCAAAATTGGTGCTAATTAATTGTTCACTAAATACACTGACATGCTGTGGGAAGCTGTGGGAATCCACACAGCTGCCAGATTCCAAGCACTGAGACAAAGAAAAAAAAAAAAAAAAGTCTTTAACCTAAATAGAATATGCAGCTGGAAATCACACAGGGAATACTAGATAGATAGATAGATAGATAGATAGATAGATAGATAGATAGATAGATAGATAGATAGATAGATAGATAGATAGATAGATAGATAGATAGATAGATAGATAGATAGATATATAGATAGATAGATAGATAGATAGATAGATAGATAGATAGATAGATAGATAGATAGATAGATAGATAGATAGATAGATAGATAGATAGATAGATAGATAGATAGATAGATAGATAGATAGATAGATAGATAGATAGATAAGGTAAGTGCAGACTCCTATAATAATAATAATAATAGTGAATTTGCTCATACCTGCAGGAAACTGTAACTTCTATTTTAGTTGCAGGGACTCTGGTGTTCAGAGGGTCGAAATCCCCTATTGAAGCCATCATCTCGCCTCGCGACGCTAATGATCATCCGAAAAAGCGCCTTGATATCTGTAGGGATGGAAAGATGTGATGGTTCAGCACTTGGATCGTGATCGCAGTAAATCCATGGCTGGGATCTGCCTCTGGGTTTTCACCTGCGGAGCAGCGGAGGAGGGAAGGGAGGAGATGAAGGTGCGGGGGTGGGGGAGCCCGACAGGAGGAGAGAGGCTGAAAGTTAGGAGGCAGATTTAAAGTTCATCCAGCTCTGCCGTCATGTGCGGCCACGCTGAGCTCCCGGGGTCTGTCCCGGCGCTGGCTGGAAAGGAGCAGAGCACCCCCCACTGGCGGATTGTAGCAGCGACAGCAGGTGAACCTCGTTTATTTTACACCTTTAAGCGCCTTTCTAACGCTTTTATTGTCGGCATAGTAGCAAACCTCCTGTCGTCTGAATGCTTGTCTGTTTGCTCAAAGACTCCTGACCTTTTCCATCTCCCCCCTCTCTGTCTGTCATCCTCTAATGAGGGATTTCCCTTCTGAGACGAAATCTAATGAGCTGTTCATTTCTGCAGCAGTCTGCAAATCCTGTTTATGAAACGCCCGTTTTTTTATTATACATTTTTGCGCAGCAACATTTTGATCAGATGTGACTTATTAATCATTTTTAATTCATTTCATTTATTTAAATGTATTTATTTTGGGGCAATCCAGGAGATCCCTAAGTATTCAAAGGAGATTTGGTATGCTTAACACGTGAAGAAAAATTAAAATTTTCTGTGTAAGACTTTAGATTTTAATGTTGTCGAGTAAAAGTGCAGGTGAAATGGGAGCATCACATTATTTTGCATTTTAATATCTAAGAGTTCCCATAACTCAGTATGAGATTTAGCTGGGCATCAGATTTACAGCAGAAAAAAGGACTCTCCAAATAGATATGCTTATTTTCAAAGATATATTCTAGGTAATTGTTTATCTAACACTAGATTTACATGATAAAACTGGAATTTGAAAGATGTTCAGTCATTAAACCCTATAATCAAATCTCTCACTAAAATAAAAATGATTGTGGAGTACTTTTGTGATGGTTTTTATAGGTGACCAATTATTTCAGTGAAAGTTTTAGTCTGTGTAACAAATAACTAAAACAAAGAAAAACAAATATTTACAGCTATTTTTCATTTTGAGTAGGCCTACACAGATTCAGATCTGGTGATATATTTCCTATGAGTTTATATCGTATTTCTGTTTTGGTTTGTAAGGTTTTAAAAAAAAACTACAGCAAATTTTCCAAGTTCAATTTACTCCCTGGTGTCAATGGTTTTGGTTATGTTTAGGTTTTATCTTTGAGTTTTCATTGGGTTTAATTCCATTTTGTGTTATTCCAGTTATTTTTAATTGTAGGTAGATGAGTTCTTAGGTATTTCTTGGTTGCCCTCTGTTGCCCTCTTGTGTCAATCTCCTTATCCCTCGCTCCTTTCTAGACTCCTCTGTTCACACCTGCTCCTAATCTGGTGATGAGCCTGATCTTTGTTTCTGTCAAGCTCAGTCACTGTTTGCTGGTTTGTCATCATTTCTTCCCCTTCAAGTGAGTTTTATGTATTTCCGTGTATCCTGAGAATTTATGTGTTTTTGGATTTTTGCTTCTGCCTTTTTTTTTTAGATAAATAAATCCACAAGAAACGACCTTCAGCTTCAGTCTCTACATTTGGGTCCTCTTATCAAACCTCCACCCAACCTGACACCTGGAGTGACTTCCGGCAGTTTGAGGATACCTGGGTTGTTAAAAGCTGAGCTAAAGTCCTAAAATGGATCCCTGGTTTTTTTTGGGGATACATGAGGAAGTGTAAAATCAAGTTGACTGCATACTCTGCCAACCTATTTGCCTGAAAAGACTGCAGGGGGTCCAGAAGGGGATCTGTGATGACCTTCAGATGCTTCGACACAACACTCAAACAATTTCATGACCACACATGTCAGGGGGACAGGTCTGTTGTAATTTAACCCCATGATGATGCATATTTTAGTTGGAGAGGATTGTTTTTCTTGCAGTCCTACTAGAGATGCAAATCTGCCTTTCTTAGGTCTTTGTGAACTAGACATACACATCATCATATCTCTTAGTGAATCAGAGTAGTTCAGGTCATGCAATTTGTTGTATTTTTCAATCTCCTTTCTATTAAATATTTTTGGATTTGAATGAATGTCTTGTCTTGTTTCTAACTGATTATTTACTAAACTACTGCCCCATTTGTCCCCTAATCCTTGGCTGTCTTTAATATAAGCCTTTTGAGGTTTTAGTTGGAAATTTACTTTAACAAAACAATCTACAGTATTCCATAATTTTCTCCTTTTATATCTATTATTTGGTGGATTTTCTTGAAGCAGGAAGCTCAGTGTTTCATACACTGATCATCCACAGTTTTCTGTATTTGTACCTCCCACTTAGTTCAGTAGAAATGGTTTTACTTTAACAAACTTACTTGGTGTTTTAAGAAAATTCAAATACTCAAAAAATAGTAAACTCAAGAGCACTGAAGTTTTTTTTCAAAACTTTATTTTAAAACTTGACAGAGGGTTGATCTCAACTAAAAACATAAACTAGAGAGAAATTTATGGTCATTTTGTATACACAGAGTATACAAAACAAATTTACTTTAGTATAGCTTTCAGACAGCAAATTTACAATTTCCATTCCATAAAGGGCAGCAGTGATCAAATGTAAACGGTGTGGGACAAAAAAAAAGAAAAAACATGGTGCAAAAAACCCATTCATATGGAAGTTCAGAGCATTATTTTATGGTGCAAATATGCAGTATTTTTGGATTGGTGTTATCAGTGTGTTGCAGAGTTTGACATGATTTAGAGTTTTTTTCAGCAGACTGATGGCAGCAGGGAAGAAACTGTTGCAGAATCTGCTGGCCCTGCATCGAACGCTGCAAAGCCTCTTCCCAGGGGGCAGCTGTCATGATCTGCCCTGATAGCTAACCTTAATTACTCCATTCACCTGCCGTCCCCGCCCCACCCTCTAATTATCATTCGTCTTATTTGTCTGTTCCCACTGCTCTATATACGGTTTAGCCCAGCTATTGGGGCCAGATCATTGTTTGATTTTTGTCCTTTTCCTTTTTAATGTCTGTGTCATGATGGGTTCAGAAAAGCCCAATATGCAGAACACAATGGAGTCTGATGAAAAGTTTAACAGAGTTTATTAAAGCACAAGCACATGAGTGATAACACTGGAACTGGTTCAGGCCGGGAGGCAGGTTCACTGGAGTCTGTAAGGATGACAGTTCAGTTAGCTCTGGGACTGAAGAGTTTGAGTTTGAGAGTTGCTAAAGATTACCTTGAGGAGTCCGGGTTATACTTTGAGAGAGGAACTGTTGGGTCCAGAGACTGTTTAGTTCAGCAGAGTCCAATAACCGCTACAGCGTCTTACTTCTGACTTGAGGGCAGACCTTAGTTTGGGTTTCCAGCTCTTAGCCAAGAGCTGCAGGGGAATCCAGAGAAGAGTCTTCAGGTTTGGCTCAGAGGGCAAGCTCGGCAGGTTAAGCTCATCCAGAGCTTCCAAGGGAAACAGGATTCCTGTGAAGCAGAGACAAGGAGGTGTTAGAATCTAATCTCAACAGAGATAGCTAGACTCTCAGGTGTTTGCTAGGCTCTGGTGCTAACCAAACTGGATCAACACTGCGGCGTTGAGGCAAGGTCTGAAGGCAGGTTATATACAGGATGATCCTCTGATGACGAGATGCGCCACAGGTGTGTTGGAGGCTCAGCTCAGGAGGATCCACGGCGCATTCTGCTGGAGAAAGGTGGTACAGCTCCAGATCCCAACAGTCTGTCTCTTCCGTTTCGTTATTTTTAGTTAGTTCAAGGTTAATTTCCCCCTTTCCAATTAGATTATTCTCGAGCCAGCATCTTCAGGCGAGTTTATTCACTAGTGTTGGGGTTTTGATTCTGTTCAAGTTTTATCTCTGAGTTTTCGTTGGTCTTATTTCCATTCTTGTGTCCTAGTTATTTTTTATTGTATTTTAGTTCTTAGATATTTCTTGTGTGCCCTCTTGTGCCAGTCTCCCTTTCCTTAGCTCCCTTCTTGCCTCTGTTCACACCTGCTCCCAATCTGCTAATTAGCCTTGTCTTATTTTCCCTATTCTATTTATTCTCCTCCTGTTCAGTCACTCTGGGCTCATTTGTTTTTTTTTTTGTCCCCTTCTTGTAAGAATTTCTCATTCTTAGTTTTTGCGGATTTATGTTTTAGATTTTTGCTTCTGTTGAACCTTTTTGGTTAATTAAATATTCAAGAAACCACTTCAGCTTTTTGTGTCTGCATTTGGGTCCTGTCAAACCTCCTCCTCCACTTAACAACTAACCAGTGATGAGAGTATTTCAGCACTCCCTTAGTTGTTTCTGATTACCTGATTCTGTTCCCTCTCAACAACCGAGCCTGCCTTCCCCGTCTGATCTGTCTGCCCAAACTATCTTTGGACTCCTGTTGGATTCTGCCTGTCTGCATCTGTGCATTTCTGTCTGAGCTGGTTGATGCTGGGAACTCTGAACCTGCCTTCATGCTCTGTGGATTCCTGGAACCCTGGATCACTTCATGTGTGGATTGGAAACCCCGATCGGGCTGAGGACTCCTGGATTTCAGAACTGTTCCTGCCTGATCTGTGTCCCTTACCGAGATCAGAACCCTGCCTGCTCACTGGGGTTGCTGCATCGGGGGACACTGATGGGCGGCTTTCCACCACAGCTCGTTTGGTAGTCCATCAGCTGGATTCTGCCTTCCTCTGAGAGGATGAACTGTTAAACCAGGTAAGTGACTCACTCGAGTAAAAATCTCAGATGATCATGGTCACTTACCTGTGTTTCTCCCTCCAAAGTGTCAGTAATGGGGTAGTGCTCTGCCCCCATCTTGCAGCCGACGCGGGCCCCGAACCCCAGCTCTGCACTTCTGTCTGTTTTACTGTTAATAAACATTTTAAACTTTCCCACTGCCTGCTTCATCTTGAATACTGGGTCCATCTGTCCTGTGTCTTGACAGCCACAGGGAGAACAGTACATGGTGGGGGTGTGAGGGGTCAATGAGGATGTTGTGGGCTCGGAACATGCGGCACTGGGATGAAATGTCTCTATGTCTCATCATCAGCAGGAAGTACAAGCGCTTTTGTGCCCTTTTGACTAGTGAGGTGTTTTTTACAGTTGTTTGTGATGTGCATCCCCAGTAATTTGGTTCTGCTTACCACCACTACAGCTGAACTGTTGATGAGCAGTGGAATGTCGTTAGGCCACTTATTCCTGAAGACGACCATGAGCCACTT